TGGAAGGGGTGACATCGGCCCCGGCCATCATCGATGATCCCTAGTGGGACGCCTACCGAGAACCGCACAGTTCCTCTCAAACAACGTTACTCTTGTCTCTTCACCCTCTCAACTCCCAGCCATACAGGAAAGTCAGGTGGGCTTGAAGTCATAGTCGTGGGTAGATCAAATGGTAGAAGAGTCTCTATTTATGGGCCCAGAGCATACCAAAACCGCATAAAACTCCCATGCCACGTGGCGAGAGAGTTTGCAGCTAACGCCAGATGCCCGCGTGCGATCGAGGGAATCGAAACCCTCCAAAGAGGCGGGGCCGGTACAGCATCGACGAGACCACTCGGCCCCCGCCTAGGACACGAACCCCGATACGCAGCACACTGATGCGGCAAGGCTTAACAATCGCGTACCGCATCTCCAGTGCAACCTGACAAGACACAGCAGCCACCTGCCACATTAAAAGCACCAACCCGTGAAGGGACGAGCGACAAAGCTCGCACGAGCCATGACTATGGACCCGTGCTCAATGCGCATGCCTCTCAATGCTTTCACGATCACTTCACGATCGCAAAAACACTCGTGGGCTATTGTGGGGGTTATAACCCCAGGGTGTCTCAAGGAACCGATTAGTTAGCAGGCCATGAGGCCTACAATGCGCTAGCTGGTGAAGGCTTGAACGACCGAGGCCTAGTCGAGCCGAGCGAGCTAGGCCAGAGGCTAGGGCCAGGGTCAGTCACGACCTCTTCCCCCTGCCTTAGACGCACGATGCTCGAAAAGCGCACGACCTCACCCCCTTCGTGACCCCTGAAAGGGATGGGGCGAGGTCGAGCCCCACCAGGTACACCTACTATGGCAAGGGCAGGCATGCCTCACTAACCCCGCTAGGACTGAGGGGACGACAGTCACCTTGGTCCGATCAGATGCCAGCCCTGCGCCACAAAGATCAAACGAGACAACACTGCCCCGAGGCGATGACGACAGGCATGGGGACCACCGGCCAGATACGGCCCGACAAGACACATGAATGATCTCACCCTCTACGGGATGGGATCCACGATGAGGGCCTTGACTTAAAGGCTACCCGTACCGATGAGAGCCACGACCCCAACGATCGGGATCGTAGCCCTCAGCTCCTCAGCGATGACCAAGTAATCGATGACCCAGGGCGACTACCTAATGTGGGTACGACGCCCCTAGGAACCACGAGACGATGATGAAGGCCACGACGGACACCGCATTGCATAGGACGACTGACGAACTACCATCGAGCTATAGTACCGTCACAGTCGGCACAATAGCACCACGTCATATCCTGCCGCAACGTGGCCAGAAGACTGTGACAATAGCCACGACCGGACGTGCACCAGAAGACGGCGTAGCTTGCAAGCCAGGTTAGCTAGACCCTCCCTCAGGCTCTCAACCCTTCGGTCAGGAGAACCTCCTATTTGTATAAGCCCTGGCCTCGAACTCTATATAAGGGCAGCCAGGGCACCCATCTCGGGAAACAGTTCACATCCTCTACCATTCCATTCATTCACCGTTGCAGCAGGGCTCCTGGAGCTTCCCTTCGGGCAGCCCTTAGCCTAGCATAGGTCCTTCCATCTCTTTCACCATTCTTGCACCCTCCATTGTAAGAACTTCAGAGTATTCAAGCGAGGAACACGCACATGATCATCTCTGAGACTGAACATAGGGCTCCGGCCTGAACCAGTATAAATCATTGTATCTATTAGATGTTACCATCGTCTTACTAGAGCAGTGCGACAATCGTATAAGTTTACTAGTCTGGTTTACAAAACACCGACAATTGGAAACTCCAACACTAATCGTTTCCGCATTTTGAAGGGTGAATTTTTAGAGATGCCTATTCACCCCCTCTAGGCGGCATCCTTGGTCCTTTCAATCCCCCCCCCTGCGTATCATCATTATAGTGTCTCAAGGAATCAACGAAGTAAGCATTAAGAGAGTTTTCTTAAGGAGAAAAATAGTAACAGAGTTTGTTCAGTTGTTAGGTCATCATTATAGCGTCTCAAGGAATCAACGAAGTAAGCATCAAGAGAGTTTTCTTAAGGAGAAAAATAGTAACAGAGTTTGTTCAGTTGTTAGGTTATCAGCATATGATTCCTAGCTAGGTCACTATGTCATGCGTGCATGCGCTTGTTTGTATACTAAGTTTTAGTCTTTATAATCTCCGCATGTTTTGCTTCATGCTTACAGGACATGACTACAAATATATTGGTGTGCATCTCCATGATGATCACAAAAAAAAAAGTTGGAAAAAGAACGGTCCTCCATCACGTACTCCTATATGTACGTCCTTGACCGCTGCTTTTTCTCATTGTGTACCTTTAGTTGCTTCTTTGGTGTAGGACCATTCAAACGGAATATAAGATACCAAAATTCGTCACTAACCGATTCCATAATCAAGCTCAAGCGAAAGAATCATCTAATATAATATGTAATGCACGCACTAGTCTTTTTGTTTATTCCTAATAATATATATACATCGAGCTACAAATATATTGCTTTTTGATAAACATTATTGTTTCGTTCTTCGGAAAAATGATATTGAACAAGGTTTTGGGTGCCACATATAGACGCAGATTTTGTTCACTTGGCGAGTTACACTTTGAAGTCTATAGAAATGGAGATCTTTACCAGTCAAGGACCACGGTTAGCACTTGTTCTTTGGAAACTTTTTGATGCCTTTTTCATATATGTTTTTAAAAATTAATTCATCAATGTCATTCAAATAAAAAGCAAGAGTAGGAAAAACAAGTACGATGGAGGAGTGGAGGACGATGCATATCATATTTTTGAGACTTAGCCAGGCACATGCATGAAGGGCTGGTTGTGTACTTAGAAACATTAGGTTCAAAGCTCAGCTGCAGGTTCTGATTCTCCCGTGCGGTTGACGAATGAGCTTGGAATGAATCAAACGTATACCGAACCTATTCGATGCATAAATGCACGCACACAACCAAAGAATGGACGAGAGCTCGGAATGGCGTGGCCGTGGGGTCCTGCGACTCCCTGCCGTTCGTCCTGCATCTGCCTGCATCTGCATAATGCATGGAGCCTGAAGGCAGCATGCAGCAGCTATAAATAAAACGCAGCCGATGCAACTAATAACACGCAGCACGCACACCATTAACTCCATCTATCGATATATAACATCATCTACAGTTCCCCCTCCGATCCTAAGCCTCGCCAATCTCCTTGCAACGAGCAAGAGCAGCGACCGGAGTACGACGACCCAGCAACTTCCTTGATCAGAAAGAAAGGTAACTAAAGGATGCGAGCTAGGCATGGCAAGTGGTTTTCAGAACCCTGTTGCAATCTTATCGCATCTTTGCTGCTGTGTTGGGACACACGACACGGTTTAGGTTACCTCTGACTTTCTGTATGGGTTAAATTGCACGACGATGTTGCTCAGGTGACTGTTGCATACAATGCGTATGTGACGACTATGTGAGGGTGGCATCAAAAGGGGGCAGTGTGTGCAATTTAGGTACTCGCTGTTTCCCGTTGACACCGCGTGCGAGTCGTCGTCTACCTTGCACTGCATGCTCAACCTATCCAAGCTCCCCGGCGTAGCCCGCACCCTCCGCAAAAGGGAGCGCGACTGGCCAGGGAAGAAAATTGAGTGGACGCTAGGTTCATGCTGTCGCCCGTGCGCCCCTAGTCCCGATGGCTGACGTGTGTCACGAGATAAATTCATACATCCTGGGAGGGGGTGGCTCCTCCGCAGCACGTGGGCTCTCTGCGCAAGCACATGGCTTGTCTGACTACACGTGCGGCTCGGCTGAGTTGGCTCCGCGTCTTCCTCTCACAAGTCAGTCAGGCTGCAAAATTAGAGCTTTGCTGTAGTAGCTCCAAATAATTACGAGTGTTTACTTAGTGAGATCCTATGGTTAAGTTCATCTATTGCTTCCTATGAAGTAATATGTGAAATATATATGTATTTATTAATTGATTTGGTAAAAGTAGATAAATAAGGAAAGTTTTAGATATAAAAATCTTTTTTTGATCTAATTGATAAAGTGTGATCTCTTTAACATGGTATAAGCCTTTTTTATTTTGCAACTTCACATTACATAATTTAATCAGTGTAATCAACATCTAATGTACGTGGAACCATTTGATTAGCATGTACATTCACAGGTACTTGACAGCTACACACGTTGCAACATGTTTTAATTTAGAAGAGATACTCTTAATATGTATTTTAGCATCATATTGTATACATAACGAACCTGCTAATTTTTTCTATAGTAGGTATCCTAACGCTAGTACGACAAATCAGCGTGACACCATTCCATGCCTTGCACTTGCGCGGCAGACAAACGTAGAAAGGGATGGGCCCCACTTCTGTGTAAATCACGGAGGGGAAGGGTTCCCCTGGTTATGGGATGTTGGTAGATTTCCTTTGTTTTCCTACATTATTTGTTTATTTATTGAATTTAAAAAATCCAATAAATCAATAGCTCAGATTGTTTTGAAATATTACCATGTACCGTAGCATTGCCCGCAAAATTAATCCTTCAGCGCTCTTGCCATCTCCGCCTCCGACGAGCGCCACCGGCTGCGTCGCAGGCGCCACTCGCGCAGCCACGCCACGCCAGCACGGGCGACAGCATGGACCTAGCGTCCACCGAATTTTCTTCTCTAGCCGGGGCCACCAACTCCGAGCTGCAGGCCTTATAAATGGCGCCCCACACACCACGTACCTCGCCACCCCACCTCGTGCTCGCAGCAGCTAGCCTCGCACAAACATTTACCACGCTGCACCTGCACGCAGCAGGGGTCGAGAGCGCAGCGCCGGCAGCAGCTAGTGATCACTGGTAGACTGGCAGTGACAGGTCAGGATTGGCGCCACCGCCTGCCGTCACGTGCGCATCTGCAGTCACGTACACACCACGAGGGTGAAGACTGAAGAGTGAACCGCCTCCTCAATTCTGACCTGGACGCTCTTTGCTTCCTTGGACATCCACCAGCAGATTGAGATGGCGGAGAACGTCGTGGCCACGTACTACTACCCGACGGCGGCGCCGGCGGCCATGGAGGTCTGCGGCGCGGAGCTCGGCCAGGGCGCGGGCGACAAGTGCTTCGACGACGACGGCCGCCCCAAGCGCAACGGTAGGTTTCATTTCATTTGAACCGACAGGAGGAGAGGACGGACTGCCGTCCCGACCGTGTCGACGAGTCGTGCTAGATGTGCATGCTGACGTACGGGCTGTGCTGCAGGGACGATGTGGACGGCGAGCGCGCACATCATCACGGCGGTGATCGGCTCCGGGGTGCTCTCGCTGGGGTGGGCCATCGCGCAGCTCGGCTGGGTGGCCGGGCCCGCCGTGATGCTGCTCTTCTCGCTCGTCACCTACTACACCTCCTCGCTGCTCGCCGACTGCTACCGCTCCGGCGACCCCTGCACCGGCAAGCGAAACTACACCTACATGGATGCCGTCAACGCGAACCTCAGTACGTGCTCTCCGCCTTCATTCGTCCCTCCTTCATTCTCATCACCAGCTAGAACTACTTACTCTGTGGCCTGTGCATCTCTGAACTGGAATTTCGTCGATCGAGCAGGTGGCATCAAGGTCCAGATCTGCGGGTTCCTGCAGTACGCCAACATCGTGGGCGTGGCCATCGGGTACACCATCGCCGCCTCCATCAGCATGCTGTGAGTGAACACACAGCCGCGCACGACTTGTCTGCTCTTTCATTTGCGCATGAATAGTGTGTGACTTGACGATGGTGTCGTGTTGGTGCAGCGCGATCAGGAGGGCCAACTGCTTCCACCAGAAGGGCCACGGCAACCCCTGCAAGATCTCCAGCACGCCCTACATGATCATCTTCGGCGTGGCGGAGATCTTCTTCTCGCAGATACCCGACTTTGACCAGATCTCCTGGCTCTCCATCCTCGCCGCCGTCATGTCCTTCACCTACTCCTCCATCGGGCTCGGCCTGGGCATCGTCCAAGTCATCGGTATATACGCTACGTTCTTGCAAGTTGCAAGCATCAGGTCATCAGTCAGTGCCACAACTTCTTACGATGAATGCAACGCTTGCATATGCAGCGAACAGAGGCGTGCAGGGTAGCCTGACCGGCATCAGCATCGGCGCGGTGACCCCGATGGACAAAGTGTGGCGCAGCCTGCAGGCGTTCGGCGACATCGCCTTCGCCTACTCCTACTCCCTGATCCTGATCGAGATCCAGGACACCATCCGGGCGCCGCCGCCGTCGGAGTCGACGGTGATGAAGCGCGCCACGGTGGTGAGCGTGGCGGTGACCACGCTCTTCTACATGCTGTGCGGCTGCATGGGGTACGCGGCGTTCGGCGACGGCGCGCCAGGGAACCTCCTCACGGGCTTCGGCTTCTACGAGCCCTTCTGGCTCCTGGACGTGGCCAACGCCGCCATCGTGGTCCACCTGGTCGGCGCCTACCAGGTCTACTGCCAGCCGCTGTTCGCCTTCGTCGAGAAGTGGGCCGCGCAGCGGTGGCCGGACTCGGCGTACGTCACCGGGGAGGTCGAGGTCCCGCTCCCGACGAGGCGGTGCAAGGTGAACCTGTTCCGGGCGACGTGGCGGACGGCGTTCGTGGTGGCGACGACGGTGGTGTCCATGCTGCTTCCATTCTTCAACGACGTGGTGGGGTTCCTGGGCGCGCTCGGCTTCTGGCCGCTCACCGTCTACTTCCCCGTGGAGATGTACGTGGTGCAGAAGAAGGTACCGCGGTGGAGCCCCCGGTGGCTGTGCCTGCAGATGCTCAGCCTCGGCTGCCTCGTCATCTCTGTCGCCGCCGCCGCCGGGTCCATCGCCGGCATCGCGTCCGACCTCAAGGTCTACCGCCCGTTCAAGTCCTACTGATCAGATTCACGGGAGATGCAGCATGTGGTATATAGGCACATATATATAGCGGTGTCCAAGAAGTACGACCAAGTACACGTCGGAATCCAAAATGCACACGGCGGTATCAAAACCGAGAGGGGAAAAAGTTAGCAGTACTGAACAGTGACACGCTCGAGAAAGTTTCAGTGTGTCGCGCTGTTCTTATGTTGTACGCCAACCTTCCAAAATTACCTATCTTGATCAGTCGCCGACATCGAAGTGTCAAAAATTGGGGAGAGATACGAGATACCGAGAGCTGTGTCACGCTGGCGGAGAACAACAACCTCGATCAGTCGATCGCCTAACTTTGTCGCGAAATTTCACGTCCTCGTGCGGACCCGAGTGGTCGAGTCGAGGAGCGAAGAGCAGTGCAACTGCAATCCTGGCTCCTGCGGTGTCCTGCGCGAGCGTTTCCCTCCCCGGCGTTCTTTCTGCGCGAGATTTTGGGCGCTGCGGGGAGCAGGGTGGACGCAGCGCTGGTGTCTGGTGTCTGCGTTGCGGGACAAGAACACGCCTGTCGTCGAGCGGCTGGAGCTCCGGGCTGTCCGTGTGTTCGTGTACGCCGTGATGTGGTCAGCGGTGAAGGACCTGGACGGCATCTTTTAGGGTGGACGCGGCGCTGGTGTCTGCGTTGCAGGACAAGAACACGCCTGTCGTCGAGCGGCCGGTGCTCCGGGCTGTCCGTGTGTTCGTGTTCGTGTCCGCCGTGATGTGGTCGGCGGTGGCATCACCACGGACTGAAGCTCTCGTCTTGCAGTTGGCTCTGAACTAGAGTCCGCACTATCAACTGTTGTCACAGATTATTATCTAGTGCGTTGGATTATTGACTTCATTATCATCAGGTTGTTCAGATTGTTGACATGCAATTCAGTTAAGCTTTTTTGTGCCTTTAATGTTTCGGTTCCTCCATTTGAAGCATGCATGATCACTGCACATATCACTGTTGAAGCATCATGTGTGCATGCTGGTTCATTTCTGGTAAAAATAGCATAATTTTCGAAACTATGGTTCGTTTGTTGGGAGCATTGTTTAACTGCTGAATGTCAAACCAGTAGCAGCGAATTTTCAAATTTGCATAGGAGGTGTATGTTTTAGGTGTCCTCTATCAAATAAATGGACAGAGTTTCAAATTGTGTTTGTAACTTGATGCAGAATGTCTTTGTTCCTTGACGTTTTGAGGATGCTGGAGTTACTTCGAAACCTACAAACTTTGGCTATTACTCTCTCCAGTCAAAAATACTTATCACATTTGGCTTTGCAATAATCTAGGATATATTCTTAGAAACCTTCAAAATTACAACATTTTTCAGGTATTTTAAATACAAATCTACACATATAACTTGCATTTTAAAAAACGCAATAACTTTATGTTGCCCTAAATGGCAAGCTTTTTTTACCAGAAGATACATCTTGAGAATAGTTTAATGTTAGTTTCAAGGTCGTTGTCTGAAATCTCTTAGTTTTGTTCTCTTTGTATGAATTATCTGATCCAATTAGTAGGACTTTAGCGCAAAACTATTTTTTACTAAACTTGAGGAAATGATTATGGAATTTCATTGGACTACTGACAAAGATGGCCATTGCATGACATTCTACTTTATGACTAGAAATGCTATATGGAAAATTTAAACTGTGTATGTGATGTACTGATCTCCAAGATAAAGCAATTGAAAACCTAGTTGCCAAAGGACGAAAGGTTCATCGTAAAACAGCAGTATCAGTTAGTTCAAAAAATATTCAGTTAGTGCTGTGTTTGGCTGCCCTCTGTTTTTGGCCACAATGCTTTTGGTTTTTTTCCGACATCATGGGGAAATTCCACAGAGTATTTTCCACTGTGCGTCTGTGTGTAAAAGTTAATGCTGCTCGTTAGTCTCGTGTGGGGAGATTGATGTGTTCTCCTATTTGGACTGCTTTAAATCTTCGTTAGGAAAAATAGAGCACATAATTTCAACTTTGTCATAAAAGAAATAATAATAATAATAACTAGATGGAGATACAAATTGAAATTACTACTGGCTACTGTAAAGGAAAGACACAGAACTATATTAAGATCTAGCTAATGCTGACAATCTAATCTAGTCCCTAAAGCTCATCATGGTCATCCTCATCGTAGGTGTCTGACGGTGCACCGCCGGACCTCTGGTACACAGCCGAGATGACAGGGCTGCACACGTCCTCTAGCTCCTTGAGCTTCTCCTCGTAGTCCTCCTTGTCGGCATCCGAGTTCACGTCGATCCACTCGTTGGCCTCCCTGACTGCCTCCTCCACCTTCTCCGTCTCGTCGGCGTCCATCTTGTCGGCCATGTTGCTGTCGTCCACCGCGCTCTTCACCTGGTAGACGTAAGTCTCTAGCTTGTTGCGCGCGTCGACCCGCTCCCTCGCCTTCTGGTCCTCCTCTGCAAACTCCTCCGCCTCGTGCACCATCCGGTCGATCTCCTCCTGGCTGAGTCGGCGGGTGTCGCTCGTGATGGTGACCTTCTCCGACCTGCCGGTGCCCTTGTCCGCCGCCTTCACGTGGAGGATGCCGTTCACGTCCACCTCGAAGGTCACCTCGATCTGCGGCGTGCCCCTTGGCGCCGGTGGGATCCCAGAGAGGTCAAACTTGCCGAGCAGCTTGTTGTCCTTGGTCATGCAGTGCTCGCCCTGGAACACCATGATGGTCACGGTGGTCTGCCTGTCCTGGTACGTGGTGAACACCTGCGTCTTTTTCGTCGGAATCACCGTGTTCCTCGGGATAAGCTTGGTCATCACCCCCACCCACGGTCTCCATGTCCAGAGTCAGCGTCGCAACGTCAATGACAACCATATCATCTTTGGCGTGCCCGCTGAGGATACCGCACTGGACGGCGGCGCCGTACGCGACGGCCTCGTCGGGGTTGACTCCCCTGCTGGGCTCCTTGCCGTTGAAGTAGTCCTTGAGCAGCTGCTGCAACTTGGGGATCCTGGTGCTGCCGCCGACGAGCACGATCTCGTCCATGTCGCTCTTCTGCAGCCGGGCGTCCGCCATGGCCTTCTTCACCGGCACCATCGTCTTCCGGAACAGGTCGCTGTTGAGCTCCTCGAAGCGCGCCCTGGTGAGCTGCTCCGATATGTCGACGCCGTCGAAGAGCGCCTCGATCTCCACGCGCACCTGGTGCTGGTTGCTGAGCGCGCGCTTGGCGCGCTCGCACTCGCGGCGAAGCTTCCCAGCGCGCGGGCGTCGCCGGAGATGTCCCGGCCGTGCTTGCGCCTGACGAGCTTGATGAAGTAATCCATGACGCGCTGGTCGAAGTCCTCGCCTCCGAGGTGGGTGTCGCCGTTGGTGGCGAGCACCTCGAAGACGCCGTTGTCGATGGCCAGGATGCTGACGTCGAACGTGCCGCCGCCGTGGTCGAACACGAGCACCTTCTTCTCTGGGCCCTTCTCGTCTTTTTTTTTTCTCGAATACGCAAAAGATTTGCTTACCATTGTAATTAAGAAGAAGAGTTTAACCACACACACGACACGCTTCTAATGAGCGCCCTAGGAGGTCTTACAGTTGTGACTGGACCTTCCTAGCAAACTGTTTTGAACTTCGATATTACATAAAATTAAACGACCGAATTAAGAGCAGCGCAGTAACCTACGGAGCTGGACGTCTCCGCTACTAGCCGCGCGACCCTGCTCCGTCATCCGAGAAGAGTCTTTTACCAGCCCTAACATTGGTCGCCGGGAACAGCATGTCCAGTGCTTTCACTTCGCTCGACGTCAAGTCCCTTGCAAATAAGTCGTCGTATGCTCGCTTGGAAGCGGATGAGATTGGAGCTGCCGACAGTGCAAAGCCCATCCTCCGTATGAGGAGCACCTTGCCCCGCTTGGAGGGCCCTTCTCGTTGATTATGCGCAGCACGTTGAGCCCAGCGATAAGGCCAGCGTCCTTGGTGGCCTGGCGCTGCGCATCGTCGAAGTAGGCCGGGACGGTGACGACGGTGTCTGTGACCTTCTCGCCGAGGTAGGCCTCGGGCGTCTCCTTCATCTTGGTGAGCACCATGGCGCTGACCTCCTCGGGGCTGAACTCGCGCACGTCACCTTCCCTCACCTAGACCCGCACGTGCGGCTTCCCGTTCCTCTCAACGACCACATAGGACATCAACTTCATGTCCCGCTGCAGCACGGCGCCGCTTGGCATCGTAGATGGTGCGCTCTAGGTTGGCCGCCACCTGGTTCTTGGCGGCCTCGCCGATGAGGCGCTCACCGCCATCGGTGAAGGCGACCCATGAGGGGGTGATCCGGTTGCCCTGGTCGTTGGCGATGATCTCGACGCGGCCGTTCCGGTAGACGCCGACGCACGAGTAGGTGATGCCCAGGTCAATGCCGATCGCGGTGCCGCCGGCTCCTTCACCGGCCGCCGCTACATAGGACGGGGCCACAAGAAGCAGCCCGACAACCAACAGCGCAAACAGCAACTTCCACCCTCCTCAAGCCATCGCGTTGCCGTAGCTATCGTCGTGTTGCGATGTTGGTAACACACAAAATGAGACGATGACGTGGATTGGGTACACGCCGCGCCCGCGCCGGTATATAAAGCCACCTGTTGGGCGAGTCCCAATTTCTGAGGCTGGCTGAATCGGAGGCTGTGTCTGACTCGCAGCAACGTGCGTTGGCCAACGCTTGTTAGACACGTCGGCCGCGTGATATGAACCGTTCATGTTTCTGATCGGGCGGTCAGGAGACGGCTATGACGTGTTAGAGGGGGGGAAGGCATTATATGGGCAGATTTTGTGGCAGTGGGCTATAGTTATGGTTGTTGCCATAATGTATATGTCAGTGCGAAAAGTGACCAACAAGTAAATATTTATCGTTTTGCCGTACGTTGTGATCGGATGTGGCCTAGCACTCAATGACACAGGGTTTATACTGGTTTAGGCAACGTGCCCTACGTCCAGTTTAAGTCGGTCGGTGACTTTATTCCTGAGCCTAAGTGCTCGAAGTTTACTGTGGGGTTACAAACGAGTGATAATAAGATGAGGGTGTTAGAGGTCCGGTCGGACCCTGGACTGAAGGGCCGAGAGTGACGGGAGTTCCTACGTGCGCTAAGTATTGGAACGTATGCTCTGTGTAGCTTTAGAGTTCTAGAGCAGTGAAGCTGTTCTAGTGCTCAGAATGCCTAAAGCCAGCAGAGAGAGAGAGTCGGAATTAATCCCTTCGTAATCAATCGCCCTTTTTAGGAGAGAGCGCATCTCCTTTTATAGATGAAGGGGATGGCCTTACAAGTGAGAGTGTGCGTGCCCTAGTCTTGTTCTCCACGCCGTCGGGTACAAGACGGTTTGTCGGTGCCCACAATACTGTTGACGTCTAGATGCATGTGGTAGGCTCCATCGTATTCTTCTGGTATGGCAAATGTCGGCGCCTAACATACTGTAGGATAAATGTCGACACCCACAACACTGTTCGTGTTTTGATTTGTCTGAAAGGTCGCAAAGTACCCCTCTGGCATGGCCTGACAGTACTGTTCCTGCAGGTGTGCAGGGTACGGTCCTCGGTATTGCGGTTGACTTGAGCGCCTTGCCTTATCTGCTCCGTCTGATTCTTGTGTCCTTATCGAGCGGGCGCCCCCGTTCGGTCATTCTCAGTCGGCTCCGACCGCACCGGTCGAAGAAAGAGCTGTAAGCAGAGGTTCGGTGCACTTCCGGTCGGAGAGGCGGGTCGGAGTAAGAAGCGAGCGTCGTCCCCTCCTTGACCAGGCCTTCCGGTCGGAGAGGCGGATCGGAGTCGGAAGCGAGCGTCGTCTCCTCCTTGATCAGGCCTTCCGGTCGATCAGGCCTTCCGGTCGGAGAGGCGGGTTGGAGTCAGAAGTGAGTGTCGTCTCCTCCTTGGCCAGGCCTTCCGATCGGAGAGGCGGGTTAGAGTCGGAAGCGAGCGTCGTCCCCTCCTTGACCAGGCCCTCTGGTCGGAGACTGGATCGCTCTTCCGGCCTGTCGTTAGGTCTCTGGGCCGACCCAGAAGTTGCACGTCATTCGCAACGTCGTCTGCTGGGCCGAGCTTTTACTGAGAAGCAGGTCCATTAGGGACCCCGGATTTATGAACCCGACAGTATATGAACTGGGTAGTCTATATGGGCAGCTTTTGTGTTATAGAGAAGAATTATTTGTTTATTTTTTATGGGCAATCCATAGAACTATGAAAGCCTTTAGTTATGGACTGCTCGTAAATTACCACCACGATGTTTCAGCTAACGCTGATAGACAATATTCTAATGTGACTTATCCGCGACCCCTCCCCACTTCCCCACTTCGCCGCAAGCCATCTTCCCGCCACAGGCTCAAAAGCAAGCGACTCCCACTCCCACCCACTCACACGCACGGCCGCAGGCAGAGGCAGCAGGATGTGGTCGGCAGGAGCGGCGGCGGCGCGCGCGGTATCCGTGTCCGTGTCCCCGGTCCCGACGCCGTCGCTCCTCAGCGGCCGGCGCGGCGGGCCGCGGGGCGGCCGGGGGGTGGTGTCCTTGCGCAGCTCGTTGTTGGACTTCGTGGGCGGGGACCTGGTGCGGCCGGACCTGGGCAAATGGCTGGACGACGTTGAGAAGCACAAGGCGCTGGCCATCTACCCGCCGCACGAGGGTGGCTACGAGGGCCGCTACCTCAACCGCCTCCGCTACCAGGGCTACTACTTCCTCGACCTCTCCGCTCGGGGGCTCGGCGATCCGGAGACCACGCTCACCAAGGTCCACCCCGTCTGCCCGGTACGTACGCACGTCTTTTTTTCTTTTTTTCTTTTTTTTTCTTTCTTTGTTCTTGCTGTTGTTGTTCCGTGACCATTGATCGGCGGCGGCGCCAACGGGGAGTGGCCGATCGAAGAACTGACTCGATCGGAGTGGTGCCGTGACTGCAGCCTAGCCTCGGCAGGCAGCCGGTGGCGCGGTGGTACTTCCCGCCGGAGGTGGACTACAGGCTCAGCCTGCTGCATCCGGACGCCAAAGGCCTCGTCGTCTGGATCATGGAAGCCAAGGTGCAGTGGCTGCTTGCACTCACCTCCATCGATCGGGACTTTTTACTGAGTGCTCTGTTCTTGAACCTCTTCTTTTGGCCTCTGATATGTATGCAGGTTCTGTCCAAGGCCGAGCTGCAGTTCTTGGCCATGCTCCCAGACATCCGCCCCAAAGTTAGGGTGATCGCAGAAGCCAGCAACTGGTACATGCGTTTCTTCTATCTCCAATTCTCCATGTTCAATTTCCCACAACACGGGAGCACTTGTGGCTAAACTATTATTACATGATCCTGTTGGACGCGTGCAGGAGAAGTTTTGTTTGGAAGCCACTGAAGCAAATTGCAGGCCTTGAGCCGAACCCGGACGCGGAAGAATGATCAAGCAACATGTCTGGGGCAACTACAGCTACACTCAAATTGCTTCTGGGACATCTCTCCCTGCCATTCTTGCAGCTTTGCACTGAATGAGAGAGGCAATTAATAAAGATGTGCATACATTTTGGCACAAATTTCAGAAGAGAACCAGTGCAAACCAAATGTAAAATTTTCCATATATGTGAATTCAAGTACAGATCACGGTCGCACGCAACGCGTTCAGACTTCAGATAATTAGACAGGCGGCGCACACTTGTCCGGCCCGCCGGCCGGCCGGCCCGCTAAGTTTTCAGCGGCGCAGGTAGACGAGGTCGGTGCGGAGCAGGAAAGGGTAGCCGATGCCTCTCCTCCTGGACGGGAACAGCACGAAGAGGAGGCTCACCACGAAGCCGATCACGAGCGGCACGGTGTTGACGACCTTCCGGGGCACGCTGGGGTAGTAGCACAGGACCACGTCGTGGTGCGAGGCGGCGAACGTCACGAACGCCACCAGCGCCAGCGTGGTGTGGAACAGGTCCGACCACCGCAGCCTGTACCGCTCCGGCTCCCTCGGCCCCTTCCTCCTCCGGTGGCTGCCGCCGCCGCAGCAGAACGTGCGGATGTCCGTGGGCGTGGCGACGCCGTACCGGAGGCGGCCCGAGGCTGAGCGGAAGCTGTCGGTGAGCGTGAAGAAGACGCAGGACGCGGCGCACAGGACGACGAAGGCCGCGGTCAGGATGCGGTTCAGCCGGGTGCACTTGCCGTCGTCGGTGAGGAGAGGGGCGAAGATGGCGAACGCGAGGATCGTGGCTGTCGGGAGGAGCACGTTCAGGCGCGCCGTGCCGCCGAGGACCAGGTTGAGGACCACGATGAAGCTCCTGCTATCGTCGTCGTCCTCGTCTTCGCGTGGTGGATCGGCGACATCGTTGCTCGCTTGGTCAATGAGGACCTTGCATTCTTCCTTCTCCGCCATTGATGTTGAGGTGAAGAGTGCGCGAGGAAGGTTGGGATGAGACGAGCTCTGACAAGCTCAACTAAAGAGCCGCTAAACTGAGCGACAGCTGAAAAGAATCCACCTTCCGGCATTCTTGACGAGTTGAGTTGGACACGAAAGAAAACGAATTGCTTCAGCATGAATAGCGAGGCAAGCGCCTTCCCCTCGCACAGAAGCAACGAACATAAGATGAATGAATTGCAAAAAACGCAGATCAGCAACCAGACCATAAGTGGTTGGGCGGCAAAGTTTCTTCAAGGAGCCTTCTTCAGATTCTTTCCCTATCTTCTAATTTTCTATCCAAAGAATACAACAGTTATTGTGTCGCTGCAAACGGGTCTTGTATGCCACCGTGGTATGTATCAAAAACTGAATCTAAGCCCATTCTGGGCATTTCGAGATGTATAACAGAGGTTCCCCAATACTCTACACCGGTGTCTCAAAAAATTACAAGGGGAGTGGCTTCTTTACCTTTTGGAATCCTAAAACACAATCTACAAAGGTGTGTATCAAATGAAAGAATGGCTGAGCATGGCCACAGATCACCAAGCATTATAGCGTTGATCGAAATGATTCTGTTGCCCTTGGTGATCTAAGTGGGATGCCTTCAGCAGTAGATCTAAGAGGAATTCCTTCAGAAGCGTCGTACGCATGTTTAGGAATCCGGACAGGTAGAGTTGGTGGGAGACCTGTGATACCAGAGTGAAACATTACCAAAGTTTAGTGTGTGTGTGTGTGTGTGTGTGTGTGTTTTAGCACAGATGAAACAAATGAAAAGTGGTGAGCATTATATCATACCATCAACCATGTCTTTTGTCTTGTGGAGAAGAAATGTCCCTGAAAGAATGGTAACAAAACCACACATCTCTGTTACAATTTGAGTTGGATTTTGACGATCCCAGTCCTGCATGCAAGTAGTTTAGTTGTCAATAATAAATTAATAATGTCAAGAATTTTCACTAAGAACAGCAGCAACTACAGCAACTGTATGGGGGAATACAGACAACCATGCCCGAAGGCTTGAACTGGATAAGTACATGACGAAACAATTCATGGAGCATTGTCTGTCAACAGCTAAACCGGCCAACAACAGAACTCAAGTTAAATGGTCATTTCTGGGAGCACAAGCTTAAATATGTGTCATGAACTAATGGATCTCATAACCAATCTGTGAAGACCATGTTAATTTGAGAGAGTACAGTAGCACGAGGTATCTGAGAGCATGCATTAATCCATCGGCCAACGCACCCTTATCTCTCTATTTCTCCACCAGTCAGGCAGCCACCATAAACCCCTGCTCCTCTGTTGTGGGCTCTTCATCAATCAACTACCACTAACATCGCATCTCCATCAACCAGCATCCTTTCAGCCATCATGCAGCAAATATCAAACAAGTCCTACCCCCTTTTTTTGCGACAAAAAACAAGTCCTGCCCTAAGAAGCCTATTTTCTGTACTCTTATTAAAACTACAGCTATCAAGCATATAACAGATTATCAGAATTTCCAGCACCTTTTCTTTTCGGTGTGCACACTAAGTCTCTTCCAGCAATTAACACAGCTACAAGTTCTAGCAAGCTCATCTAGCCTAGGCTGGTTGCTTGAATCAGGTAGATTAGTCCTAGGAGAGGTTTCGTTGCGCTTCTTTCTTATCTGTTTCTGGGTATCAGACTTCTGTATTTCTGTTGTGATAATGGAAATGGGGTACACCCTCGCTTAAAAAAAGTTCTAGCAGGTTCATGTTGAAGCAAGCAGCAAAGCATTTCAGCATGATCTGCACTTCAGCAGTATTACTGATAAGTCACTCGAGACACTGGGGTCGAGGGCCCAGCATATGATGTGAATATTGAAGGAATGGAGAAATTAATGAGAAACGGCCAAGTGTTTAAACATTCAATTCCTAACTTCTATCTGTCCCTACAAGGCTCGTTTATCCTTTCGAAAAAAACAAAGATGACACTTGAAAAATGTTGGGCACAAAATTTGAGGTTGAGTAATAAATTGAAAAAGTTTGAACAGGATAATCTAATTTTGCCACTAGAAGCTGCAGGTAACAACTAGTACTAGAAGTTGCTTCCCTTTATACTTTTAATCTAAACAAGCACATATCATTCCATGTCAAACAACTTGCAGATAGAAAAGTAGGGCAACAAGTGTACTGCATTGAGGCCTTGCTTAGTTCCTCTCCCAAAACTTTAGACCCTATCACATTGAATGTTTGGACACATGCATGGAGTATTAAATATAGACTAAAAAAATAACTAATTGCACAGATTGCGACTACTTTGTGAGACGAATCTTTTAAGCCTAATTAGTCCATTATTTGACAATGTGGTGCTACAGTAACACATGTGCTAATGACGGATTAATTAGGCTTAATAAATTCGTCTCGCGGTTTTCTAACAAATTCTGTAATTTGTTTTTTTATTAGTATCCGAACAGCCCATGCAACACCCCCATGTAACATCCGATGTGACACCCCAAAACTTTACACTCTGGATCTAAACGAGCACTGAATGTTGCCAAAAAAGAGAAAAAACATTACCTTGAACATTATCACACTAGCCAAAATGGTTAGTGACGTGAACATCGTATAATATATCGGTGATACAACTGCTGTGTTGAAAGTGTCAAGAGCCTACAAAAAAAACTAAATTTAGTTGGTTCACTAGAGTTAGGATGCTCCTTCAAACAACATAGATAAGTACCACACTAGAATTCTATAAAAGTAGGATCAGGTGAGATATATTAACCCTAATAGCATTGCAATGTCTATTATGGCATATTATTGACAGTAGTAATAGTACATGCTCTGCAGGTTACAACAATGGGTATTGCACTGATTTGCTATAAAACCAAAATGAGCACAATACACAATATGAAATCATCTGGTAGTACAGCCACAATTTTTGGATCTAAGACAACGCAAGAAGGAGAAAACAATTACAATAGCAGGAGAAGAGCAAGGTACCCAATTATCAAATTACTCAATGGGCCAATTATGATAAATTCATAATATGCATTGCATAAGATGTTAAAATAGGAGTTTGTTTCACATCAACAATTCATTACGACTCATGTAACTACCAAGAGATGGATACTCGACCACTAGCCCTTGAATTCAAGTGAGCACTCAATAAGCATAGATATATCCTGCATTCCTGACAGCACAGTGCCACTTACTTCCATGCAGAACATGAAAACATGTGACACAAAAGTAATTGATGTTGATGTACTCAATGCTCACTATATCCATTAAAATGAAAAATCACTATTACCTTGTTCAGATAGTTCATCTGTGTTACTATACATGCAACAACAACAATGGTGAACAACCATGTTTGCGGATAAATTAGCTGGTTCATGCCAGAAAAGGTCAGTTTCAAGGCTATTCCAAGAGCTTTCACACTCATGACCTGCCAACACCAGCACATTTTGAAGGGAAAGAGAATTAGAGCATAATCACTCAACAAATACATATTGAGAGAACTAGTGCCAAGTGAATGTGTAAAACACATACCGACAGAGATCCTACAAGGGAACAAACACCAATATAGACCATGATGTGTGTCTGACCATATTGTGGAATAAAGTAGTATATGAGGACAAAAGTTGCAGCAAGAACGATGACAGCATAAGATAGAAAGGCTGCAAGACCAAAACTTATGGCATTAGCTCTTACTGAGATAATATACCAAAGTGCGTAATTAATATTTGATAACAACTAATTGGGTAAGAAAGGAGGGTACCTGGCTCAGTAGCAAGATCCCACACTTCTGCTACAGATTCAATTGCGCGCTCCTGAGGGGCATGAAGTACAATAGTTGTTGAACCCACAGCACAAAGAACACACCCAAGTATACCAAATATATGCAGCTTTTCCTTCAACATAATGTCTGCAAGAGCAGCACTGTGAGAGAATCATGTTAGAAAAACGAAGCAACAAAAGGACATTTGGATAACAAGCAGCATCAAGGCAGCATGTATTATATTTCTTACCTAATTATGATGCTAAGTGCACCAAGTGGTGTGACCAAGATAGCAGGAGCAAAAGCATATGCTGCAAAGTTAGCCACTTCTCCAACAATCACTGGAAAATAGCACTAAGAATCATCAATACTATTACATTATTCAGCACTAGCACAACAGAAGGCCTACTCGCATGAGAGGTGACCTACTTGTAATCATTCCTGCCCACCATAATGGTTCGTACAAGTAAGAGTAACCACCAACACCTGCAATTAACCACCAATGTAAACAAAGTCAATGACTGAGAACAGAATATCTGCCGGTAAATCTCAGAGCTGAACATCCCTAAAATGGAGTGACCGAAACCCAACTCTTCGAAAGCACTGCATGTCGAACATCCACGGCCATATTTTCCAGTCAACGGTAACCTCATAAAAGTCAAGCCAGCAAATAATCCCTTTTTCACCTTGTACCAAACCACACCTCCCTTCTACAGTCCAGCCTACACGAACTGGAGTGCATCTAGAATTTATGTACTCAGTGGATAAGCAACAGTCACTAAACAAACTTTTGTTGAACTAACAAATGCATGGCATAAGAAAAATGGGGGGAAAAATTCTATGCGACAACCTCCATGCGACAACACCTAATCGTGTGATACGACACCGTTCAAAAATCTAACTGCTCGGATCACGCAGCACCACTGATCGCCTTGCCTGCAGGTGGGACCTGCGTGCAACAAGCAGAGGTTGTCGCACGGAGGTTCTTTTTTTTTCCAGAAAAATGAGCAAAAGACAATGCACAATATGAAACCATGAATATAACCGCCACACAAGTCACAGCTACTTGTAAATGACCTACCTCGAATCAGGTCAACTCCCTAGCCAACACAATTTATAACAATATCTGAACTAACTTCAGGTATACACTGTCTAATTGTCGCTCTAACACAGATCCAAAGCACGCACACGGCATTCAACGCTGAACGGGAAAGGGGATTCCACGCCCAATCGAAAACCGAGCCTCGAGGCCGGCCCTCTGCGCGCTCACGTAGCGCCTCTAAGATCAAATCGAAAACGCAGCAGCAGACAGCCCAGCCACCACGATCTACGGAGCAACGCAATGTCTGGATCGATGGGAATGGAAGGGATGAGACAAAGCAAGTCACCTGCGCGGACGCCAGACGCACCGGCCTTCTTGAGCCCCTTCTTCTTGACGATGAAGCTGGCCCCGATGAAGAAGCTGGAGGAGAGCGCGAGCACCAGCCCCTTGATGTTGTCCGCGGACATCCCCTCTACCCAGCTCCCGCCCGCCGCGGAGGTGGACGCCTCCGTTGCCATATCCGCCGCCCGACCACACCAGGCCCCAGAAGCCCTACCCTCCTGAGGGGCAGCGCGCAGCCGCTAGATCGCACGACGGCGGCGGCGGCGCATGCGAGATCCGGGCGCGGCGTGGGGTCCGGTAGGCGGTCGCTCAACCAACCCAGCAGCGGCAGGGTTGGTCAGTGAGTCACCAAACGCGAGGGTCCCGCATTCGGCAGTGGCAGGGATTGCGTGGGCGGAGAACGGGAGGAGAGATCAAAACTCGAGCTGGGGGGAGGAGGCGGAGGGCGGCGGCGGCCGTGACGCCGGCGAGGCGGAGGAGGCGAAGAGAGATGGAATGGAAGACTGGTGCCCCGAGTCAACGACGCCACGCGGATATTTCGGTGTGGACTTTGGGTGGGTGGCTAGCTAGCCAGTTGCAGTTGGCTGTTGGCTCCCGACTCGAGGCTTGCTTGGCATCGAGGCAACGAGCTGGAGCGTCGGTGAATTCGCTCGCCTGGTAAACGGCACCTAAAAAATTTCACGTGCGCCGCGAGTGCAGGTAGCTCAGTTCCCGCGTTTGGGCCTGCGTATTTCTTGGGCCGGTCTACGTCGGGCCGTTGGGCAAAATTCTAGTGCAGCCGCAGTTTAAGGCTGTGCCAGGTATGCTCTTTTATATATGGCAAAAAAAAAAAAACTACTGTAAAAATCAGCTTTTCTTCCCTGAACTAGAAAACCAGATATAACTCCTCCCAATATTTTTAAACCGGACATATGACCTCCCTAGCTGTTTCTCTAAGGTGGTTTTTCTTTTTTATTTTTATATTTATTTCAACTAAAATATTTAAAAAATCATAGTAAATTACACAAAAATCATAAAATAAAAAATTAATTTTCTTGGACTGCACATGAGTAGATCTACATAGGAAGCATATGATATGGTATGTTTTAGTACAATTTTTTTTCTCTAGCTTTAGATCTATTATTTTCTGTGATTAATTCATAGCTGTAGTTTCTGTGGTCCTATTGTGGTGAATTTTTTTCGGTGAACTAATCATTGCATGCTTGACATGTAGTAAAAATTTTATGCTCATTGGATCATGTATAACTGAATTATAGATTTATTTAGGTTTATGCTTATTAAATAATTTTTAAATAGTTAAAGTGTGTAAAAATAGAAAATATGTGTTCTCTATGTAATATTACTATTGTTATATCTTATGAACACTTAATATAATCATGTTTTCACAGAGAAAAATACACAGAGAACATACATTTTCTATTTTTACACACTTTTAATTTTTTTAAACTATTTAATAAGCATAAACCTGAATAAGTCTATAACCCAGTCATGCATGATCCAATGAGCATAAAATTTTAACTATGTCTCAAGTCTCAAGCATACAACAATTAGTCCTCCATAAAATTTCACCACAATAGCACCACAAAAATTATAGCTATGAATTAATCATAGAAAAGCATAGGTCTAAAGTTAGAGAAAAATTTTGTACTAAAACATACCATATCATATGTTTACTATAAAAATCTACTCACGTGGAGTCCAACAAAATTTGACTTTCCATTTTACGATTTTTCTGTAATTTATTATGATTTTTCAAAGATTTGACCAAGAAAAATATAAAAGAAAAAAAGAAAAATCACCTAGAGAAACAGCTAGGGAGATCATATGTCCGGTTTAAAAAGATGGGGGAGGAGTTATATCCGATTTTCTAGTTAAGGAAGAAAAAGGTGACTTTTACGATAGTTGAGGAAGACAAGGTAGACTTTTCCCTTTCTATATTAGCCTATCTACCAAACTAGCATGCTCTCTCATTTGTCCACATGCTTACATCTACTCCTGGTTTTCTCAAAAAAAACTACTCCTGGTTGATTAAGCATAAGATACAATTGGTAGTTTTCTGATAAATTGTAAAATTGCAATTTATGTATTAAAAAACTAAATCTAATGTCTAAACTAAATCTGATCAACCTTAATTCCAATTCTTCTAAATCTAAATCTAAATTAAAATAAATTATATAATTACAATTTAGCAAGGGCCACACGAACGTGTACCCCCTCTACAACAAATTACGACATCCACTCTCCAGTGGAGATGGTAGGCTAACACTCCTCCCAAGTGCAATGGAGATTGCTAACCTAGGCCATGAGTCTTATTGATCACTCATTGACCTTATCCAGGTAAGTATGGATGTGTTTGGTTGGGTGACCAACCTCCAACCAGACTCCAGAAAGCCACCTTCGTGCTGTTTGGTTGCTTGTATGGAGTCCCAAGCCAGGCTTCAGGAAGCCACCCACCACCCTTTTGCCAGGCCCTAGGAAAACACAGACTTAGGTCATTTTTTGGGAGCCAAGCTTGGCTAGGTAGCGGTCCCTGTTCTCCTCACCTCCCGCGCACTCACCTCACTCGCGACGGAACACCGGGTGTGACCCTGCTCTCCTCCACCGGTGTCGGCCCTGCTTCCCTCCACCACCGGCGGCGTAGATCCACTTCGTTTGTCACCCCCATGCCCCGTCCCGGAGTGGTGGCGTTCCTGGCCCGGAGCACTATAACACGCGTGTTTTTGTATCATGTTAAAATCCACTAAAATTTTAAACTTTTTAAAAACTTTACAACAAATTAAAACCCTGACTATTTATTTTCCGCAAAACCATTTTGAAAATGTATTTCCAAAACTCTACATCAAAACCCACCATATGCATTTTGTGTGCCGCGTAGGATTTAATTGTAGCGCTAGGAATAATTTATAGGATTAGAAGATCGCTCCACATTTAAATTCCATTGCCTGCATTTTGTTGCTTGAGTGTATGTTTGAATGCTTGATTAAAATGCTTGATTGCTTGATTGCGTGATTGATTGCTTTTCTAGAATTTATTTGAGGCACCAAAATAACTTCCCTTAATTAACAATTGCATTCTTGAATTATTTAAAACCTTCTCTTCATATTATAGAGGGAATATGAAATCATTAATTTTGGTCATAAATATAAAGTAATATATAATATTTAGGAAATGCATCATGAATACTAGTATTGCATTCTCTAATTAGAAATACTTCATCTATCTATTATTTACAAAAAGGAAATAGATACATATGCATTGTTATACATTTTTTGGGAATTAGAAAATACAAAATGAATTCTGTGTACTCCCTCCCGAACGGGCTAGCCCAACCAACCTCGTCCCACCTCCTCTTCGCCCTCCTTCCCTTTTTCCTCTTTCCCGCATGGGCCTACCAGGCCTTTGGCCCAGCCGCCTCGCCTTCTCTCCTTTCCCCTCTCCTTCTCTTCCTGGCCCGCAATCATGGCCCAGCCCGCCCACTCCTCCCCTTCTTTCCCTTCTTCCCTTCGGCTTGGGCCGCCTCGAGCCCAAGCCGCGCACATGGCCAGCAGTGCCACAGCCCTTCTCCTCTTCCCCTTCCCTTTCACCGATGAGCGGGACCCACCTGTCACCTTCATCCTCTCTAGAGCATCAATGACACACTGTGCCGAGGTCGCTGCCACCGCTGACGGGCAACCACCTTCCTTCTACCGAGCTCCCTGCGTCAAGGTCGCCACCGTCACCATGCTCTGCTCTGCTCGTTCCCCTTCCCCTCTGGTCAGCCTCTTCTCATCTCTCTCCCTTCGCCTTGCTCTCCCTCCTGCTCTCTTTCTCCTCTTCCCCTGCTATCCCTCCCTCGAAGATGACTGCGGGATGCCATCGCTCGCAACGCAACCAGGCCAGCGTGGCCCTAGCCTGCTGCCGACGGCGCGCTGCTTCCCTATCTCCCTCTGCTCTCTCTTCCTTCTCTCTCTTCCTCTGCTCTCTGCTTTGCTCCCCCGTGCCATAGCTCACCACCGCGCCGTCCAGACTACCGCCGTCGGCCGAGCTCCACCCATCGCCACCGCTCTGCTCGCCCTTCCTCTGCCTCGTTCTCACCCTACGCCTTCGCTACAGGTGCAGAGCATCGCGCCGCCCTCGCCGGTGCCCTGTACCCAACTGCTGCCGTCGCCTGGTGCTCTGCCCTAGCACTCGCCTTGCCTACTCTACCTCCTCCCCCTCCCTTTCTTTCTCTCTCTCCTCCCTTCTCTTTTCTCACTCTGTTGACCACGACGGGGAATGGATCGATGGGCAAAGGGAATCCGAGGCCACCGATCGTGTCATCCCAACCAATGGGGAAGCGCCACGCCTGGTGTTGGTATTTATTAACACACAGAGATAAATCCATAGGCGCACAGATACCTCTGTAGCTTTCACCTAGAGGTATTCCATGTATCGTATCCATAGGGAAATATGTGAGACTAACTATGGTCTAACTTAACTAGGGGTAGTAACAAGGTTAGGATAAATAGGAGCGTAGAGAGGATAACTGAGGTTCTCTACTTCTAATTTGGGTAAGCTATGTCTTCTACTATTTAATTAGGGACATTACTAGGGAAATACACCAGCAGATGATGCTTTCCTTCGCAACCACGTCCTACTTGCACGTATAGACGGGAGGTGGACTACAAAGGATCAACGAAGTTATATAGTATAGGCTATATAGAACTTATGTCTCACACACGATCTACCACCTTCCTGGAATGCAAGGGGCCTCCACGATTAACCTAAGTCTAAGCACCACGCTTACACTTACAATTAATACTTTAACCTAGAGCGTCCATAGATTAAAGCACTCAAAAGAGAGTCGTGATCCTGATGAACAATATAAATAATTACTTACTTGAATCAGAAGTTGATAAATAGAGAAATCTCGAAAGCAAGCTCAAGTAGAACTTAGATCCATCAAGGTACAAGCCGTAGAGAGAGCACCAACAGGCCAGCACCTCCTCCAAACTCTTCACTCACTCTCTATCTCACTATTCTATTTATAAGACTAGATCCTATGAAGGACTAATCTTCTCTTGATTGCTGGCTCTGATCCTAAAGATATGAATTAGGGTTTCAGGGATCTACTGAGAGGGGGGTAGGGGCTAGTATATATAGTCCGGAGCGTCCATCGTGAGCCCTTGGATCAAACTGACTTAAAGAATGGAATAGA